AGAATTTAAGTGATTTGCTCACTTATTGATGGTCTGTTTCCTCCACCCATTGAATATAAACTCTTTGAAAACAGGGATCTTGTTTCTTTTGTTCACCGTTGAGATCCACAACCTAGGCCTTTGACGATGGACACATGGGTGAATGAATGAAGAATGAATGGATCTTCTTACTGCTACATGTCCCATCTTCTCATTAGTCTATCAACTCTAGGAGAACACAGGGCCTCTGGTTTTCCTCTCTCTCTGCACCTTCCCCACAGACCCTTAGCTGGAACCCTCAGTGACAATACAAACTTACAAGGCTCAGCACTTTCAGTTGACAAAGGGCTTCCTGACGTGCTGTCTTGTGTAACCAGCTGCCCAACCACCCCTACTTTGCTCCCCGCTGGGAAGTGTGCTTCAAGCTGCTTCCTCGGTGTTTTCCTCCAGGCTTGGCCTCCTTCCCACCTTCCCCAGATAACAACGGTGCCACTTAAGGAGAGCGTATGTGTGTCAGAGCCGTTCTGAGCACCTTTCCTGTGCGAATTCACAACATCCTGGCATGAATCCTTGTGTGCACTGTGTATATTGCAGACACTATTAGCCACCTACCACTGACGCTGGGCAGCATCACTGGCCCCAGTTTATACACGAGGAGGAAACTGAGGCACAGGGAGGTCAAATAACCTGCTCAGAGCTACACGGGAAGCGGTAGAGGGAGGAATGACATCAGGCCAAGGCCCCTGATTCCAACCCCTGCCTCCTAGATGGTGATTTACTAACTATTTTCTCCATCCTGTATTTTGCAGGTGTCTTTCTTCCAAGCACACCTTCTAAAACACCTGGAATCGCGGGGATCTGTGGTGATCTCTGGACTGGAAGCCACGGCCATGCACCTGGCTCGTTCTGTGATGCAGGAACAGCTGGGATAGTGAGGGGGACTGGCATGCCGCTAGCTGTGGCCTCCTCAGCGTCTGATGCCTCGGGTGCTCTCCTCTCAGCTATGGGTGAGTAGAGCAGCCTGACAAAGCCCTGGCATTTCCTGGGCCTTAACCTGGATGGGGAGCAGATGCTCTCTGTTGGCCAACCCCATCCCTGTCTCCCCTAAGTGAGCCCTCCTGCTCCCCTCCTCCCTCCGTGCAGGGCTGGGTACAAAGGTTGGGACTTGACCAGAGCTTGCTCCTTCACTCGTGCAATCAACACACTCACATCTGAGAGGCCACCAAGTGTGGCCCTGAAGGGCAGAGGTGGTGGAGTCGTCCAGCCTGGCACTCCACTTGGCTCTTCTGCCTGGGCTGTGTGACGCTGGGCAGGTTACTTAACCTCTGTAATCTCAGTTTCTGCTTTTGAGCAACACCGCTGATAAAACCATTTACCTTACAGGGATGCTGTGAAGAGTAAAGGAGCTATTCCATGAAAACGGTGGCAACACTGGCAGAGTGAGCGCTCCATAAACATTAGCTACTGCCAGGACTGCACTTAGCACACGGTCTGCATTAGCACCACAGCCACGAGCACGACAGGAAGTCTGTCCCAAAGAACGGATGGGAAAGCTACCAGGGACAGGGGAAGACACAGAGGAACCCAAGGCTCCCAAGCAAAACTGAGAGCAACTCATGACAAATACCACCATTTACTGAGTGCCTGCTGTGTACCAGGCATGGAGTCATGCCTTTTGTATGCATTCACAATAAATCTCTCAATAATCCAGGAAAGCAGAAGTATCTGTATTCTCCGTTTCATAGATTTATTTATTTTTTGAGATGGAGTTTTGCTCTTGTTGCCCAGGCTAGAATGCAACCTCCGCCTTTCGGTTTCAAGCGATTCTCCTGCCTCAGCCTCCCAAGTAGCTGGGATTACAGGTGCCTGCCACCACACCCAGCTAATTTTTTTGTATTTTTAGTAGAGACGGGGTTTCACCATGTTGTTCAGGCTGGTCTCGAACTGCTGACCTCGTGATCCACCTGCCCTGGCCTCCCAAAGTGCTGGGATTACAGGCGTGAGCCACCGTGCCCGGCCCTCATTTCATGGATTTAAAGACTGAGGCTCATTAAGATGACCGTATGTATGTTGCCTAAGGCCACATAGCTAGAAAGTTGTAGAGCTGGGACTGGAAGCGTGTTCTGTCCAGTTTGAGAACCAGGACTGTATTCTTTCTAGGAATGGAAGGGGGTGGCCCTAGAAGCTTTTGGGGCCAATGTGTATATTGCAGACACTATTAGCCACCTACTCAAACCCTGCCCTTATGGGCCAGTGGTTGGTTCCAGGCACTGTAGCAACCAGGAAGACTCCCAGATGTCTCCTGGAGAGGGTGCAGTATTACCCCCAGTTAAAAACCTCTGTTCTAGAGAACTCCAGAATTCTCTAGACTACGGCTGAGCCAGCCTCGCCTCCAGTGCCTTCAGACTTCTTGTTTGGGGCAATGAGCAAACGTTCCTAGTACCTGAAGCCAGGGTGGTCTCTCCTTGGCTGCACTTAGAATTACTCAGGGATCTTTATGACTCCTGATGTCCAGGCTGCAGCGATACCGAGACCATCAGAAACGGAAACTCCTTGGGTGGTTCCAGTGAGAGCCAAGTGTGAGAACCCGTGACTTCCAGGGCTTCTTCAACTTTAATGCCTCCACGGTCACCTGGCGGGCTTGTTAAAAATGTAGATTCTGGGCCAGGCAGGTGCTGCATGCCTCTAATCCCAGCTACCTGGGAGGCTGAGGTGGGAGGATCACTTGAGGCCAGAAGTAATTTGAGACCAGCCTGGACAGCATAGCAAGACCTTGTCTCAAAAATAAAAAAAATTTTTTTCAGAGCGGATTCTGAGTCAGTTGCCCAGGATGAGGCCTGACACCCTGCACTTCTCTCTCTTTTTTTTTTTTTTGAGACAGGGTCTCACTTTGTCGCCCAGGCTGGGGTGCAGTGGTGTAATCTCGGGTCACTGCAGACTCTGCCTCCTGGTGACCCTGCACTTCTAACCAGCTCCAGGGGGATGCTGATGTGGTTGGTCTGAGGACAACAATCTGAGCTGCAAAGACTCAAGGCACAGGTCCTCCCCCATTCCAAGGGGGATTCTGGAATTCCAGAATCCAAGCAGGGATTCCAGGGCTGTGAAAACACAGATTCTGGGCCCGAGTTTCAGATTTGCTAGGCCTGAGGTAGGGCCAGAGACTCTGCATTTCCAACATATCCCCAGGTGATGCTGACGCTGCTGCTTGGAGGACCACCCGTGAGAGCCTCTGGCTGTGGGTAAGAGAATTCCGCCCCCATGCCCACCCCGCACCATTTGTGGCCTGAAGGATCTTGGACCAGATGCAGCCTCCATCCCTCAGCTTTCCCACCCCCAAAGTGAAGGTGACAAAATACCAGTGCTGTATTCCGAAGGGTGTCGTCAGGGTTGCATTAAGTGGGCTGGTACTGATTGTGAACCTCTCTGCCTGGCGCCTGGCACAGCAGGGACACAGAATTGACAGCATCCATCCTGACGAGCTTCCCTTCCTCGGAGGCCCGAGGCTCACGGTACTCACCGCCGACGTTGTTCTTGTAGGTATTGTACATCTCCTTCACCCGCCGGTAGCGGAAGGCCAGCTTCCTCATCCAGTCCACGCCGCCGTGCACGCCAGAGCCCAGGCACAGGTTGGTTCCTGGGGCTGAACTGTGGAAGCCATCAGCAGAGAAGTTGTACGTGCTGCAGAGAGAGGAGGGGAGGGACGGTGTTAGTGCAGGGGGGTGCAGGGCATCTTCACTGGGAGACTGCAGGCTCTGAGGGACCCACGGGCGGGCTTTCAGGTGCCCATGAGCCCCTCGAAATGCACAGGGTGCTGCGAGTGTACATTTAGGGGGCAGCAGGACCACAGCTTTCGTTAGCTTCCCCAAGAAAAGTGGTGTCTTTTCCTCTTACCGGATCCACATCCGTTTGCCTTTTTTTTGTTTATTTTTTAATTTTTATTTTTTTGAGATAGGGTCTTGCTCTGTTGCCCAGGTTGGAGTGCAGTGGTATTATCACAGCTCATTGCAGCCGCAACCTCCCAGCTCAAGGGATCCTCCTCCTCAGCCTTCTGAGGAGCTGGGACCGCAGGCGTGCACCACCACAGTTGGCTAACTTATTTTTATTTTTTGGAGAGATGGAGTCTCTCTATGTTGCCTGGGCTGGTCTTGAACTCCTGGGCTCAAGGGATCCTCCTGCCTTGGCTTCCCAAAGTACTGGGATTATAGGCATGCACCACCGCGCCTGGCCCCTTGTTTTGACTTTTAGAAAATTATTATTATTTTTTTATTTTGTGATGGAGTCTTGCTCTGTTGCCCAGGTTGGAGTGCAAAGGCATGATCTTGGCTCACTGCAACCTCCACCTCCCAGGTTCAAGTGATTCTCCTGCTTCAGCCTCCCCTTCCCAAGTAGGTGGGATTACAGGTGCCCTCCACCACATCCAGGTAATTTTTTTGTATTTTTAGTAGAGACAGGATTTCACCATGTTGTCCAAGCTGATCTTGCACTCCTGACCTCAAGGGATCCACCCGCCTCGGGCTCCCAAAGTGCTGGGATTATAGGTGTGAGTCACTGTGCCCAGCCATGGATTTATTCTTGAAAAAGTGAACACTGACCATTAACTCAGATGCTACCATGGGGAGATGTCTAGATGTTAAGAGATGGAGGCCCTTGGGGAGGGCAGGAACCAGTGACCAGGATGGACAAGGGATCTATCTGTTAAGAGCTTGGGTTCCAGAGCCAGGCTGCCCGGATTTGAATCCTGCCCTCCCTGCTGACCAGCCATGTGAGTTTGGGCCGACTGCTTAATCTCTCTATGCCTCACATTCCCCAGCTGTGAAATGAGGATGAAGATAAAACCATCTCTCTCATCTCTCCTAGGGTTACTGTGCACATGCAATGAGTTATCCCATGTAATGCATTTGGAATAGAGCATGGAACAAAACGAGGCATCTCTGAAGGCTGGTTCTTACTGCTAACTGAAAAAGAAAAACACAAAACAAGAGGCATTTCATGCTTGGGACCTAGGATCTAGTAGGCACTCCCTAAATGTTTCTTGAATGAATAAGTGGAGAATTTGGTGTCTAAAGAAGAAAACACCCTTGGGCTGAGAATGCTCAAAGTGAGGTACCAAACAGCTCAGCATGAGACGGAGTTCAGAGGACCATTGCTCTGAATTCCAAGCCAGCTAGCTACACGGGAAATTTTATAGAAACACAACGATGCTGCTCATTGCCTTGAAAGGAAGACTGCTTCCCAACGATGACTTCATGGAAAGGACCAATTAACCTTGATCTGGGGTTTATTTATTCCATCAATTGAGAAGTCCTGGTGGGGCTGGAGCTTTGCTCCTCGCCAGTCCTGACTGCAGAAGGGATTTTCCGAATGGCTGATTAAAATGAAGCCGGCATCTGCCCGCCGATCACTTCCGATTGTGCCGGGCTTTGAAAGGACTTACAGGGCTCAGGAACAAAAACTTTGATTTCTGTTTTTGCAATAAGTTGGGAGAGACACCTTGGAAGCAGGTACTAAATAAAGTTACAACAACTGGTCCCATAACCAAAACATTATTTTGTCTAATAATATATCTGATGAGCCTAAAGCTCAATGTGGTAATTTTGGAGGAGCACAGATTAACTATGGTTCCGTTTTTATAAACTTTTCCCAGGGGCAGGCTTGGAACATTCCAGCCCACATTCTTCTTTTTTTTTGAGCCTGACTTTCATCTGTCAACGGCAGGCTGGAGTGGCAGTGGTGTAGAATCTCAGGCAATCACTGCAAGCCCTCCACACTACCCAGGCTCCAGCCAATATCTCTACTGACTCAGCCCTCACGTCAAGTAGGCTATGGATCTAACAGGCGCTGCACCAACACACCAACACCCAGACTAAATTATTTGTATTTTTAGTAAAGAGACAAGGATTTCACCAATGTGGACCAGAGCTGGATGCTCGAAACCCTCAAGCACTCAAGTGATTCTACCCGCCTCAGCCATCCGCAAAGTTCTGAGGTTACAGTCCATCGAGCCACACACCGAACAGCATGCTGATCAATATTATTTAAATATAAACAATTGAATACAGGC